GGGCTAGAGTTGTGGCTCAGCGGTAGGTGCTCGCCTGGCACATGGGAGGCCCTGGGTTTGATCCTCAGCACCACATAAAAATAAATAAATAAAGGTATTGTGTGCAACTACAACTAAAAAATAAATAAATATATATTTTTTAAAAGTCTACCATTTGCCTACTTGACAAAGCCCGGTCATCAAACTTAAACCTCTTGGCCATATCAGATTCACTTTCTATAGTATGTTCTGAGAGCTCTCTGTACTATTAATTGATGATAATCTCATGGACAATACCATTGAGCAAAAATTATCATCACTCCCATCATTCCATCCTATAATAAATATGAATTCAGAAAATCTCAATATTTCTCTTGACACATTTCACTACTAACACAGAGAACGACAATAACAAGAAGTCTTTGATACCTTTATTAGAGAAAGCTTTGCCAACACCAACCAATGCCTTTAGTTTTCCATTGGTTTGAAACCACAGATCCTAGGCAATGGACCAAAATAAGATTTGCTGTGGATAAGAGACAAGCTTTTATCTTATAAAGTACAAGGATGGTTATAAAAGGGAAAGATGCAACAATAAGAAGGTAGGAATTTATGACAAGGTATTTTCTCAGGAAAGGGTAAATATTGAAGTTGACTATCTAAAAATTGATTTCCAAAAAACTGTGTCTTTGGATCCTTAGAAAACTTTGTGTAGTTCTGGGAGTATCTTTTACTTCCAGAAGTAAATTTATAGGTTTACCTCAGCTTGAAGTCTTCACATACAGACTGTTATTGCAACAGTATTGCAGCTCCCTAATGGGTCTTCCAACTTTCATTCTTGTTTCCCTACAGTGAATTTTCCACAAGGCAGCCACAATGACCCTTTAAAAATGTAAATCAGATCATGCTGTTCTGCTTAAGGCTTTCCCAGGCTACCCAACACACCCAGAATGAAATCCAAATACATCAAGGCCTACTTGGCCATGAACCACAAACTGGCTTTGCTTAACAACTGACTTTCACTTTCTACCTTGTTCATTCTATTTTAAATACACTGGCACCCTCACCAAGGTCACTTATAACTATGGATCTTTGCAATAGTTGTTTCTTCTGTCTAGAATGCTTGTCCCTTGGCAAGCTATTGACTTATTCCCTTGCTTTATCCTATCCATATTACTTTTCAAATTTTACTTGGTTAATAACCCTATGTTAAATAGCATCACCACCCATACTATATCCCACATTTTTCATTGACCTCTTACTTGGTTTCTGACTATCTAAAGGTACCTAAAATTATATTATTTATTTCTACAACCCAAAATAGAATACATAAACTTGATGAGTTCAAGAAATTGGTCTTGAAATTTTTCACTAGATACCTTGAACATTGCTAAACTGATAAAATAAATATTCTTCCATGTTTTTAAGGACTTACATACAAGGATTTTATAAGGTGGTGGCAAAAAAGAGGAATATAAAAATAATAGTACATATTTTCAATTGGAAATAATGCAGTTATTAAATGGTATGAGGTAATTTCAATGTGCCAGAACAAAATGGTTCCCATGATACACTTGTTCTATTAAGACTATGATGTCATCAGATGTAAGATGCACTTTAATTTATTACTACCAAATAAAGGAAATAATGCCCAAGATTGTAATTTAAAAGTAAACAGATACACATGTGAAGACAAACGAGCCCACAACACAGAAAGGTATAAGTGAGGAAACCTGCATTTCAACCCAGACACTGGGTAGAAGGAAGAAAAAAAATTCCGTTAGAATTTAAACCACAAACCAGTTCATGGGATTTTCAGTCTGATGCAAAACATTAGTTTGGTCCAAAACCCCTTGAGAACTAAATTTAAAGTAGTAACAGGTTGGTAGTGAGCCCAAGTGACTGACAGAAGAAAATATCTCTATAGAAGAAATGGATATCACGGCAGGACTACAAAGAGAGGAACATGCTATCTATTATAAGACACATCTCAATGTCAGTAATGTTAAATGGTAAAAAGATGAGTATACTTGAATAAAATATATTGATAAGTGAAAGCTAAAAGAAGAAAAGGTGTGTGTGTGTGTCTGCATCTGTATGTACTCCTTAATGTTTAGAAAACTTCTGAAAAGATAAGCAGTGATTATTCTAGGAAGGCAGACTGGGTATCTTGGGAAAGAAGAAAATTTCCATTCTATTACTATTTTAATTTTATACCATCTTTATTATTATTTCTCTTAAAATACTTTGAATAATCAGAAAAAATAAAATATATATTTTAATGTTTTCTTAACTTTACTGAAAATACAAGGGTATAGACTTATCCCAAAACCGCACTCTTCAAAAACAGAATAATTCAAAAGTATGTAATTTATTTCTTGGGTTTGGTTTCAAATTTCATGGAAAGAATATCACCATCTCTAAGGAAAACATTACTAAACACAAAATAATCCAAAAGCATTTATTTAGTATCCATGTATACATTATGCTAGTGTTTAATTATATTTGTTCTTCTAAAACTCATATTAAAATTTAACCTGCTGAGTATTAAGAGGTGAGACCTTTAAGGAGTGAGCAGGGCTTTGATTTCATCAGTGGATTAACCCATTCATATAATTAATGGGATAACAGATTAAGGAGTTCATGTGTTATCTCAAGAGTGGGTCTGGTATAAAAGCTCCTTGTTTCTCACCATGTGATTCTCTGCACCACACTGGGGCTCAATATTGGATAAAGCCATAATCCAAAGTCTTGGCTCTTTTCATTATAACGTACCCATTCTGTGGTATTGTGTTATTAGCAAGATAACACACACTAAGACATAGGATCAAGCACCAAAGTAAACAATGAGTTTTCAGATTAAAATAATTCCTCTAAGATTTAAGAATTTGGATCAGGAAAAAAAAAAAGTCCACATAAACCAATGACTAACTGAAGAGATATATAGCACCCTCCAGAAGCCTCCCTATTAAGAACTTTTATGAGTGCTTCATTAATTTTGTTCAGTTATATTTACAACCTCTAAGAGTATCAGGTTGGTAGTGGGTCCAAATAATTGACAAATGCAGACACAGAAGGAATGCAACAATATTTCTTGAAGAAATGTTTAATTATATCAATAGCAACTGCACATTTATGCAAGCGTTTCTTCCAAGTAGTCAAGGACTCAAATGTTTTTAAGTATTGGCAGAGTAAATGGAGTTTCACATATTTATTTAACAAACATTGACTGAATTTCTACACGTGCCAGGCACTGTACTAAATGTTATGGACATAAAAATAGGTGACATGTACCTTAACTTTAACAGCTCACAGACATAAATACATAATTCCAATAAAATGTTATGAATTATAATTTAGGTATGTACAAATGCATGTACTATAAGAATACAAGTGTCCTTTGATATAGGTTGGAGATTGGCTCCAGGCCTCTATGGATTTCAAAGTGTACACATGCTCACATCCCTTATATAAAATAGCATAGTATTTCCACATAACTTAAGCACATCCTCTCATATACTTTAAACCATCTCAAGATTACTTATTAATACCTAATAGAATGTTAATACTATATAAATGGTTGTTATACTGTATTGTTTAGGGAATAATGACAGAAAAAAGCTTGTATATATTCTGTACCAATGCAATTTTTTTAAAACATGTATCATTTTCAGTGAAATACTCAACGTTATTTCTTCTAGCTTTTAGGGATATAATTGTTATATTCTAAAGTCACAATTGTTTAGAAATGGATTTCTTTTTTTAAAATTTTGTTTAAATTGTTGATGGACCTTTATTTTATTCATTTATTCATATGTGGTGCTAAGAATCAAACCCAGTGTCTCACATATGCTAGGTCAGTGCTCTACCACCGAGCCACAACCTCAGCCCTAAAAATGGATTTCTAAGCCATAGTTGGTTGACTCCATGGATGCAGAACATATGAATAGAGAAGCCCACTGTAATTCAGTCTGCAAGAGAAATGGTGGGGAAATCTATGAAGAAATGAACCTTGAGAAATGCCTTAAAGCAGGCATTTTAAACCTAAATAAATTCCTGTTGAGACCAGGTAGGTAAATAAAGTAAGGGATGTGGCCATGGTAAGAACTATGGCAAACTGAAGACTTTCTGCCCTCCTAAAAGGGTTAGCTGCCATTGAGAAAAGTCAACTGTTGCCTCATACGACTGTAGGCCCAATGTTATCAGAATTCCAATATTTTATTAAAAGATGGGAATCACATTTTTGTGAAAAACAACTGATTTTTTTAAAAGGAAAATTAAAAAATAACCTTTAAGGGCAAATAAAATATGTTTGTAGGCTAAATCTGGCCTGCCAGTTAAGAGATTATAATCTCTGCCTTAAAAATATAAATCCAAAAAGTGAAGAAGAGAAAAAAGGGCATTCTAAACACACAGAACAGTACATCTTTTATTGAACTATATTTCTACCCAGTACTAAAAACAAAAACAAAAAACAAAATAAAAAAAAAACACAAGTCTGTGTTAATCCATTCAAACTCATATTAATTTGGGGTTCATTTTTAAGTCATAACAGGTTTTACAAATAAATTTTTGTGTTTTTCTGGGAAAAAGAAAAGGAGTTCTTCCGAGATCAGATGAGATCAGGAGCGTTCAGGGTGGTGTGGCCGTAGACAAGAAAAGGAGTTCTTAAAAGAAAATTTTCTTTAGCAGAAGTAACAAAAAGCCTCAAATCTAAACACAGGTAAAAATAAAGGCAATTTTTAGTTGTATTTATGAAATTAGAAATCTTTTTTTATATCAAATATAAATATAAAAATATGTTTATATTTTTATATTAAAAATATGTTCATATAAAAATGTTTATAATTGTTAAGGATTATTCCATGATTTAAATAGAATTAATGTGTAAAAAAGTAAGCATAGTAAATTCTATACATTATAATAAAACTAGAAAATTAGCTTAAAATTCCATAAGAATTCTGTAAAACAATGTGTTCATAAAATAAACTATTTTGAGAAAAATAATAATTTCTACATACCTTTTTTTCTTTGGGACCCTAAAAGTTGGAAAACAAATGATACATTTTAAAAATAATTCAGATATTTTTAACAAAAATATCATGATTATATAAGATGTTAAAATTAGGAGAACCTTGGAAAAGAGCACAAGGGAACTCTCTGTACCATCTTTGCAACTTTTCTGTAAATCTAAAGTTATCCTAAATTAAAAAGCTGTTTAAAAAATGATTTAGGTTAAACATAAAACCACACATACAATTCAGACAAAACTATAAGTATGTACTACAGGGAAAACTAAGATAGTTCACCCATGAGGGCATCTTTTGTACATAGTTTCCAACAATATTTCTTATGACAATCAAGGATCCATATTTAATAAAATACTCTATCACTAAACTGAGTGCCAGTCAAGAAAGTACTGGTTTAAAGGGTTCCAAAAGTAATAAATTGGTGACTAATTATTGGCAGTAACATCAAATGTGCAAGTGTGGAAATGATCTCATTTTATAAAGAAATAATCTTTCTGTATAATAAGTTGGGTAGGTTTTATTGAAAGGGAATTGGTTATATAAAGAAGGCAAAGCTATGAAGATTTAAGGTTCTTTACAGCAGATCTATTATTTTCTAGAAGTTATTTTGGAAAGTAAAATATTTCAATAAAGATTTATAATTATGAGTATTTTCAATAACATTACTTGTTATTGATAAGGCCAATGTATCCATCAGATTTCTTGTAAGGAATTTGTAGTAGATCATGTGATTATATGATTATATACTTTATATATTTGAAAAGCTATACAAGGAAAATACTGGTTCAAGTCACTATCACTATATAACACATTATATTTCATCTTCCTGAAAAGTATATATATTTTACTGATTCAGCAGATATTTATTAATGCTTTATGCGTAAGGCCATCTGAGGTGCTTGAGACAAAGTACAGACGAATAATAGATATTTTGATTTCATATGGTTTTTACAAATGGGTTCTATTTTTGTTATAATATTTGCTATCAATTAATAGAAATGTGTTCAACCAGATGTAAGTACTATACAGCAGAATATGTAAATAGCATTGTTCCTGTTCTTGAGTAGCCCTATTTTAAGATAGGCAAACTGTCATCTCTCGTGAGTGCTTCTAATATGAAACAGGTTAGGGATAAGTACATATTCTTATTCCTCCTGAAAATCATAAGAACTATTATGCAGTAAAATAGTTCTCAAAGTTCAGAAGGCATAAAAATCATCTGATAATCTTTCATAGAAATGCATGTTCCTGAACTCACTTTCCTTCCCATGTTATGATTCAGCAGATGTGATGGGTTGAATTGTGTCCTTTCTAAATTCACATGAAGAAGTCCTAAACCCTTGTATCTAAGAATCTGACCTACTTGGAAATAGGATACTGCTGACTTAATTAGTTAAATTAAGATGAGGACATACTGGAATAGGGTTGGTGTTATAAAAAGGGGAACCTTGGACTTAAGACACTCTTGCAGGGAGAATATCTTGTAAAGAATGAAGTTATGTTGACACAAACCAAGGAACTATTAGAAGCTAGAAGGTAGGTCTGAATAAATCCCTCCTTAGGGTCTTTAGGGGAAGCATAGCCCTGCTGATGCCTTGATCTCTGTAATTGTGAGACACAAATTTCTATAGTTTAAGCTACTTAGTTTGTAGTACTTCATGGCAGCCAGTTCAATGTTGGAGTTAAGTGGGTTTTTGGAATCTGCGTTTTTAACAAGTACTCCAGTGAGTTAGCAATAAAAGCTCCAGGGGCTACAATTGAGAAATATTGCTATAAGAATCTAAGAAGAAGAAACTTCAACTCACATTCAAAAGGAACAAATAGTTACTTTTTGTTCTCCCAATTTACCAATAGTTTTAAATTGGCTTACCCGTTTGTATTCTGCCAGAAGTGCTCTCTACTTCCTATTTCTTCCCACCACTTGTAGAAAACTCACATTTATATTTTAAAACAGGTTGAAAAACCCAACTCTTTCCTGTCTCCCTTCCCCCAATTTAATCATTTCCAACTTTGTGTTACCCCATTTTAGATTCTTCAATTGTTAGTTATAAAACTGTATTGAAGTTAATTTGTTTCATCTGCCTCCCATAGAAGGGTTGTCACATTCGTTTTCATATCTAGCTTCCACCCCAGCGCCAAACACAAAGAATGCACTCCATATTTTCCTTTAATTAATGCATTAAATAATTAACCAAGTAGTTACATTCTCCACTTCCTCTGGTTTTAATCATAGAAGATCTCTTGATGGAAATCACATTTAAGAAAATGGGAAAAGAGATCAGCTCATAGTTATATGTTGGTTTGTCTCCTTGGGGAAGACTTGACAGCTGGGTACACAAAAACAAAACGTGAAGCTTTATCATATTTAATGCTGATTGACTACACTGAATGATAAAACAATTCATACTCCTAAGAAATACCACACAAGATAACCTTTCAGAGTGCAATAAATTTATCAGCTTTTAATTAACTACAGAAGAGACGTAAATACATATTTGCCAAATTTGAATAAGAAAGCAAATTAGTGGGAATGTCTATCATTGGGAATTACTAGGTTGGGACTGTTTTCAGTTTAGCAACAAGTAAGATTAGGACATCATGTTACCATTATGGCCATCTGTTTGCAGAAACTGGTTTGGGACTCCCACCTGTCTGCTGGACTCAGGACCCCAAGGCTACCAGTCAGGAGAAAACGGACCCGCCCCGGGCTAAGGGTTCTTTCCTCAACTGAGCCGCTCCTTTCTAAAATATGACGGGCTCTTGTTACGTCACTCAACACTGGTGAAGCTGAATTAATGCTCGCCTCTTGAACTACCTCTCCTTGTCCCCTCTCACCATGAGGAAGCAAGAACGACCTTCCCAGTCGGCAAAGTCAGAGCTCGGTTGTGAACAAACGCTGCCCAGGTGGTCAAGACAACAAGCACCGCCCACTTGCGCAACATAGGCGGAGCTCAGGCCCGCCCATACCGGCGTGCGCCGCCGCACAGAGAAATTTCCGGTTGTCGTCCCGCCCCCACCGCTGACAGGTTGCTTCAGCTTCACCCCGCCCCGCTGGGCTGTGGAGGAGCGGTGAAGTCGGATCGGTCAGAGGCTCTTAAGGCTGTAGCGTACCGGAAAGCGCCGGAGTGCAGCCACCGGGGCGCTTTGTTGTTTTCCGGATTCTGGGGTCTGGAGTTGGTGAAGTATGTCTGGGCGAGAACCATTATGGGTGTGGGAAGGGGTTTCTGAGCGTCTTCCGACGCTGACAGTCTCTCTCCTCTTCTTGCCTAAAGTGTGTCGGGGCGAATCTTTCTGGGAGGGTTTCCAGAAGAAAGGGAGCGACCCGCATTTGGGTCAAGTGACAGACATCCTAGTGCGCTACCTGGGCCACCAGAGTTAGGCCAGCCAGGGGACAGGATCCTTTGCAAATTTGGATAGGAACAAATTGACTCCTAGAGGGTTGGTTACTTTTAGATTAACATAGTCCAGAATCTTCTCTCTGCTCGTGGATCTGTTTACTTTCTGTGAAAAGTACGTTTCCCCTATCCTAAGGACAGCCATAAACAAGAATTGAAAATGATTTGAAGCAATTAGTGGGCAAAATATTCCTAACAGTTGAAGACTGCTGAGTGCTGAGGCCCAGCAAGACTTATGTGCCCAAGGTCACACACTTAAGTGTACTAACAAATAGCACAACTTTCATAATTTCTGACCCTTCCGCACATGAATAAACACCGGCACCCCACACCAAGAGGAAAATGAGAAGAAATTAAGTGACTGTTATTTTTCCAAAGCCTCAATTTTTCTCTGTGATTTTAGGACCTGTCTAAACCCTGTTTTTTCATGACAAGGCCGGAAGTACTTTAAAACTATTGGCCCTGAATTCTAATAATGCTCTATCCCTTCCAATGCCGTTGATGAAATGTATTATTGATTTTTTAAAAAGTAGTACCGACAGAACTAGCCTTTGTGGGTAAAACATTATAAGCCCCACTTAATAGAAGTCTTAGTGTGTAATAGTTATTACATCCCACCTACCTCCACATGCTGGAAGCTAGATAAAAACATCTGTTGTTTTTAATTTTTATTTCATTGGGAGCTCTTTTACAGCTCACTGTAGCTATTTGGTATAGAAGTGTGCTTTTGTTTTGAATTAAACAAAACTACTAATATTTAATACAAAACCTTAGTCATCTCTTAATTAGGATCGATGGGGCAAAGGATAATGGTAAACCCAAACTATCTTAAAATGGTAGACCTCCAGGGGAAAGAATCTACTCAAGCTCTCTGTTAACCTCCTTCCCTGGGAGGAGGAATTGCATAGATGTGTTGGATTCCAAAATGCTGATCTCTATTAGTACAAGTCACTGTGGCATAAGGAATTATACTCATGAATTTTACTGTCTACTAGTATCCTTGTACAGGCCTGCTCCCTGGTATCTCTTTACCTTCAGACAGGTGTAGCGCCTACCTGCCCCTTCTAAACATACCTATCCACAACTCACTTTGTATAGTCTGCTTTCCAGGCCTAGATGAATGTGTATGCTGGCCTTTAAGGGTAAAATCTCTTGTCACCTGTCTCTTGATTACTTACTCTGCTGATGGCAAGTGTGTTGGTACAATTTTTGTGTATAAAGCTTTCTAGGATTAACTAGTTTGGGGAAATTGTGCTTCACCTGTTTAAGTCCACTAGAACCAATTACAAATAACGTTACAGTGCCTCTCTTTTGTGTTTTCCTTCAGCTTATGTTGTTATCTGAACTTCATGGGAAAGGGTAATTAACAATTTGGGCACCATAACTCCTAGTAAATTGACAATTCACTGTTAACCTAGGAGTGGAGCTGATTGTTAGTTAACTCCTAATCTGCATCATTGAAAAAAAATTAATGGGGATTGCACCTCCTTCTCACCCATCACATACCCAAGTTCTTAGAATAATGGGGAGTTTCTCTTAAACCCTAATTTTTTTGGCTTCCCTAACTTCCATGACTTCATGAAGAGTTAAGCAGCAGCCCATGTCCCTGCTGGACTTAAAATAGTTTCCTAAATTAGAAACCCAAGAGGACCTGTTTCTCCCAATAGCTGAAATAAACTCAAATGCCTGAAAGTCAGCAATGTAACAATAAACTGACTTCATTCACATAACATCAAAGAATTGGACAATTTTTACCTTAGCCACACTAGCTCCATTTTTTGCTAGGCAAATCTTTTATTAATAATTTGTTTAAAAAAAGCCAGCAACATAAATCAGGTTCTCAAAAAGCTTTCATATATTACAAATTGTTAATTAAATGAAGCCAGGTTCTTTGCCAGACATTAAACAGTCTGTGTTTGCAATTTAAAATTATATCTATACATTTAATTTTGAATTTTTTTGAGAACCACATGGTTCTTTAACATTCTTAAGAATAGCTCACTCTGATAATGGCCCTTCCCCAAAAAATATTTTAATGAAATACCTTAGTTGTTGTTTGGTAGGTTCAATACACCCTAATTTTACTCCCTTCCAGAATTCTACTGTATCTTTCTGAAGGGATATAAAAATGGAGATTTGGAGAGGTTTTGACAGCAATAAAACTTTAGAAGCTGGAAAACAATGAATAAAGGTGACCTAGTTCACCAGAAAAACCCAGTTTTTACCACAGTATTCTTAAAAGACATTGGAACAGTGGCCCTGGAATTGGAGGTGAAGAATGAAAATTAAAGAGAACTAAATGAAAGCATCTGAGAGACTCCTTTAAGTAACTACACCCCTCATTCCCACAGATGACTGGAGGTTTATTTCTAGACAAAGTAATACTAGGGCATCTTCAAGCATACTATAATACATGAGAAGCGATAGAATTTAGGTATTCATAATGCTGAATGCAAGACCCTCATTCCTCTTTCTTTTAAAGGTTTAATTGGCAAATCCTCAGAGATTGGTAGACTGCTCAGGGAACTGAGTAGCCCAAGAGGAACAATCCAAGATACATGAGAAGGTAAAGGACTCACCTAGGATACCTGAAGTGAAGTTCAAAGCCTATAAGCTTCAACCATGGATGCAGATCTAGAAGACTTTTTTGTCCTTAAAAGAATGGACAGAAAAAGAACACCAGATTTTGGAAGAAAGCTCAGAAGTGATAGAGAAAAAACAGGGCGGGGGAGCAATTGGGAATAAAATAGAAAGTTTCAACAAAGCTAACAGTGAACTCAGAAGGGGAGAAAAAAAAGTTTGACTCCATTATGTGTTTATTATGTGAGTTAGCTTATAAACTACAAGAGAATTTTCTAAGTATTAGTGTGGAAGTAATTTTGATTCCTATGTTGGTCTTTCCCCCTAAAAAGAGGCCAGAAAAAAAGATATATGAGTCAGCAAGAAAAGGTCTTTGCTTAGCTGCTATACTGGCAGGAGGTACCTTTTAGATATACTATTTTACATTGTAAAATAAGAGCTTATATCCAGTACTTCCTCCCCAGGGAGGCATACCGCAAATTATGTGTAGCTGCTGACTGGGGGCAGGTTGAACACCTACTCCTACTCACTAACTGGCAGCCTGATCATTTGGATAGATCTCTGCTTACATATGTATCTTAGTATCTTATCAGAATTCCTATTCTATTTTTAGTAGTTTTACTAAGGCATAATTATATATAATAAAGTATAATTTGATAAGTTTGATATCTATTATACAACTATGAGACCTTTACCATGATAAAAATAAACATATCCATCATCCCCAGTGATTGCTTCATTCATGTTTGATTCTCACTCAAGTCTCCAGCCCCCTACTCCCATCCTCAGACTACTCTATTATTTTTAACCTCTCTGTGGTCTCTTCCTATTCTGAGAGAAGTCTAAATGTTTCAGATTAACTGTCCAAGTACCATTTCTGGTTTTGAATACTGCTCTGATTTCAGCTGTATAGAATTTGAGGTATCTGATCAAACATATCTCCCATAGCCTCTCTTATTTTTAATGTGTTTTTGCAAAATCAAAGTTTTTCAGAGATACATATATTATGTAATTACAAAAACATCTGTGTTCTTAAAGCAAGAACAGGATACTGAAAAAAATTAATAATAAGAGTTCTTGGAGATTATAGCAGAAAGGAAAAAACTTGATAGAACACTTGGAAGTTTATGAGAAAGAAAGTATCCCAGAAAATTGAAAAAAGAAAAAAAAGAAAGAGGGCATATCTAGAATTTCACACACCCAAATAATAGGAGTTCCTAGAAGGGAGAAAAGAGAAAATTGGGGAGAGGGACACGAAACTAGGAACAAAATTAATTTCTTCCCCAGACTTCAGAGTTTCCAGATTGCAAAAGCCAAGTGTATCACAGAGGAAGAAAATAAACCCATGACAACACATCATTGTAAAGTTTCAAAATCTTCAAAGAAATCTCAAATTTCTGAGGAGATGAAAAAATACATCACATATAAATAAAAGATCATTTATCCAGACTGCTTTGAACTTCTTAATAGCAGTGCTGGAAGTAAAATTACAGATGAGCAATTGCTTCAAAATGTTGAAAGAAAATTGTTTCCAGTTTAAAATTCTATACCCAACCAAACTATCAACCAAATATAAAGTGGCCAGCCATTTTTAGACATTCAAAGTCTTATTCACCTCCTGTATGCCCTTAGTATTAAAGGATGTGCTGTACCAAAACAATAAAATCAGAAAAAGGGACACTTTGGAAAATGAGAAGTAGGATAGTCAATATAGAAGATAAAGGAATTTCTAGGATGGACAAATGACATCCCAACACAATAGTTGATATGGAACAACCAATCCAGAATCAAACTCACATTGAGAGCTATCTATCAAGATTCCTGTTACCATTTGGATCCTCTTTTTATGAGGACATTAAACCAAGGCAGGTCTGGCAGATTCTTATCAGTACCTGCCTTGTCTGGACCACATAGAAATGAAATATCTGCTCTCTTCTATGCTGTGTTCACTGACTGAATCAACTTAAGGACACTCATTTTGACCTTTTGCTTCAACCTGTTCCCAGAAGCTGATGCTGGGCTTTGGTGAGCTTAAAGTAAATAATAGTCTTTTCTTCCCTATTCTGTGTAATAGCCAGAAATCAAGTGTCAAGATTTATACCTGATTTCCACAGGCTTCATTTGTGGAGAGCTGAAGATTCATGACATTACTAAATACTCCTGAAGGGAACTTTAAATCCTGGGGAAGGTAAAGCCAGATTAGGACTTCTGGGCTTTCATTTAGTAACAGGATTATTTCCTCTGTCCTTACTTAGACTCATGCTTGCTGTTGAAATTGTCAAAACTAAATATATTATTTAAGAAAGTGTTCATGGTTGGGAAAACTACAAAGCAAGAGTAATTTGCAAGTCATTAGTGGTCATCTTGGTAGAGATGGGAAGGAGATTACTGGAAAGATGCATATGAAGGCTTAAAAGATTTAATTATTTCATAACCTGAATGACTTTAAATTTGCACATTTTATGCACTTTTTCTTAAGCATAAGATATAAAAACATAAGACAATATGCATGAAAACACTGACACCCTACCTTTCAAATTATGAAAGATGTAAATTTTGTCAAAATGCCTAAATGAGGCAGGGGGACAGGTGAGGTCTTAATGAGAGTCTATAATATTGTACTTTAGGACTGAACCAAAAGAAAAGTAATGGGAGGACTTAGCACAATTATTTCTAACTGAATATGGTGCTATAATTTTAATTTATACTTTCTGCTAGTTAACTATAAAATAACCCTTAAAACTTATGTACAAAAAATCTTCAGTTCAAAGGTCATTAAGTGGGTGGGCATCTAGAGAAAGGAAGGAGAGATGAAGGGATTGTAAGATAAGAATGGTCTTTGGGGGTTAGGAGGGGTTTGTTTATAAGAGCCTACCATGAAGTGAGGAGAACATTTCTTTGGATAGAGAAGTTGGTGGCACAGGTTGTTAGAGTTGGAACAAGTGAAACTTATCTAGGAAGGGGGTAGTGGCACAGCATAATTCTTGAGCCTCAGAGAGGGAAATGAGAAGAAAGGAATGGGGAGAAGAAAATGTGGGATGGTGGAACTAGGTGGCATAGCTCAGAATAGTGTGTGTTGAGTGGTGACAGTGACCGGAATTTGGTTGCCTTGTGGGTAGAGGACTGATGATCCAAAAAGCAAATTTATGGAGGATAATGAGAACCAGATTTCTTATTGGTGGACAAGAGTGCTAAAACTATGGAAAGGAAAAACTAAAATGAAAACAAACCCTGTAATGTTGGAATCGAATGTTATCAGGTCATATAGAAATTTGTATAAAAATAATTGTGTATGTATACACATATCACATTTAATCTACATGTATATACATTTGTTTGCAAGTTTGCCCACTGAAGAGGTCCTTGGAATAGTGACAAACCCACTGTTTTAAGCACTTCTAGCTCCCATATCTTGGGTTCTAAAATATTCCATCTAGGTGGTAGTTTCTAAATACCATTGTCCACTGAAAGGCAAACAAAAAGTAGTACTTTGGAGAAATAACCTTGAATAACATCACTTTAATCCAGTGATCAAAATTGGAACCATAAAGGAATATCTTGGAATTGTGTCCATCTGATAGGATGCAGTGTTAGGGATTTTGATTTAATTCCAATAGTTTTAACTAGTAGGAATTATTTTGAGTTTAGGCTGTAATGGTGCCTTTAAAGAGCTTCCTCTCCTTATTGTAGCATTAACAAAGATATAGAGAGAAGGATTTTGCATGCCACTGGATGTTGCCTCTTCTTCTTGGACACCCTTGTAGATAAACAGTAGATAGATGGTTTATCTATCATATTGTTTATCTACTATTCACTGCCAACCTGTTTGACTCACATACTCAGTTTCTTTTAGTTTTTAACCTTCCTCTGGAGAATACCCTTCTAGATTTGATCAGGACTCTTAATATCCCCCAAACAGATCTGGCCTTGCCTTGAGAACAGGGTAAAAAGAATTTTCCCTTAAAGAAAGCGAAGCTCAAAAGTTAAGTAACCTGTAGAACACATTTTGCAGGTGGGAGTAAAATCTAGTTCTCATTCCACTGTGTAGTAAAAGGAGGTAGTGCTATGTACTTAAGATAATCTGTTTTCTCATAATCTTCTCTCCTTCATAGAACTTGTCACCATTCATAATTATCTTGTTTATTAAGTCTCCATTAGAAGTAGTTTTGTACATGTTCACATAGCTGACATGTTCATAGCTATATCTCAGTACCTCAAACATCAATAAAAGGGCTACTTACCAAAAAGTTAAAAAAAAAAGGTACTATTTCCCAGTGTATAAGATCTGTGTTATTTTATTATTTAAGAATACAATGGAGTTATTTACAAAAAATTTTCCTTTTCTTTAGGTATGTTATGTACAAAAGTGGATTAATTTCAACGTTAAATGAAAATGGCCAATTCTTTAAGAGGAGAAGTACTGAATCTTTATAAAAATGTGAGTAATTATGTTGCCAGTTTTACAAATGTTGTCATATAACCCTGATTATTTAGAAATATATAATCTTTCTTTTTCAAGCTGCTGTACCTTGGACAGGACTATCCAAAAGGAGCAGACTATTTTAAAAGGCGTTTGAAGAATGTTTTCCTTAAAAACAAAGATGTGAAGGATCCAGAGAAGATCAAAGAACTTATTGAACGAGGCGAATTTGTCATGAAAGAGTTAGAAGCCTTATATTTCCTTAGAAAATACAGAGCTATGAAACAACGCTATTATTCAGATATCAACAAAACTAAGTGATCATTACTACTATAAATCAGCTGAAAAATCAGTACCATCTGTTTTGTGTATACCAAATATTCTAAACTAGAATGGCAAGATATACATGTGTAAAAAAATACCTGAACTGTCCTGCTGAACCAAAACTAGTTTCAACCAGATAACTAAGAGATACATCCACAATCCTTTATGCTCAATTTTTATTAAAATAACAACTTATACAACCAATTATAAATTAATAAGAACCCAGTAAGAAATTGTTTTCTAACTTTAGTCTATTACTTTTAGCCAATTTCTCCCTTGTACTGACAAGAAAATGCCATTTAATAAGCAAAATAATTTCTTAGCACATTTATTCTCTTTTGGAGTAGTTTTATTTTTGACCCAATTTGGTACATTAAAGCACATATTAAAGGATGATTAAAAAAAAAATAACACCCAGTAATGATTTAAATGCAGTTATAGAAATAACAGATATGAAGATTACTTCTGACCTTGAAATAGTCTCCCAGTGATTGGCATTACATAACTATTATTTCCATTATTAACTTTGCTGTTGACTCCCTTGGGCCTTAAATCATTTGTTGTGAATCAATTACCTTCTTTCAAAATAAAATAATAACTTTATTCTATTTTTTTGTCATAAAAGCAGATTTGTTTTGCATCTACTTCTGTGTGAATTAACATGGTGGGCCTAACCTTATATGAATTTAGTTCAAACATTACATAATGTTCTTAGCAACTTCTATAAACAAAGAACATTTCTAAATTGTAAAAGCTATAAAAAGGATCTACTAGTATACTTTAGTGTATGCAGCTTATAAAATGTTCCATATCAATTGGGGAGCAAATGTTTTGAGAATTTCCATTAAGAAATACACATTGTCAGGGCTTGGGATATAGTTCAGTGGTAAAGCACTTGCCTAACACATGTGGGGCCCTGGGTTTGATCCTCAGTACTGCAAAAAGAGAAAAAGAAGCGGGGAGAAGATTATAAAGAAATAAGAAAGACACACTACCACAGTCACCATAACTATTTTTTATTACATTACAATTAGGAGCAGTACAGTTCATGACAAAAATATTACAAATTTCAGATCACTTCACAGCACATACTCCTATAAACATTTAAAAGTTAATTTTAATTAAAAGAGTGGTCATTCTTAAATTTAACATTTGATATGACCAACATTCCTAGGTCAGCGCAACCAAATGATGGAAAACAACTGGATCACACTGCATATGTCCCACAAAAAAAGCACAATGTACAAAATGTGCATGTTTCAGTTTACACTATACAAAAATAGTTAAAATACATTCCAGGTAAACATGTTACATTAAGAAATAGTACTAGTAAGAAATTGGCACTCAAAGGAAAAATGCAAAAGTATTTTCAACATGAAAACACAAGACAGTGGAACTGGAAACTTCCAGATAAAACATATAACCCATTTAGCTCTACTGGGGTGGGGGCGGGAAGTGGACCCTCTGAAATTGACGTTTCTGCAGTAATAACTTTGTTTTTCCTAATTCATCTAAAATGCCTATCATCATCCCAAACAGGCACTTTAAACTATGAAGCTAAAACACAAATTTTAATCTAGCTATGACTATTCTTCAAGAACTAATATATGTCTTTAGAAAGAAATAATTTTCATTGACAGAATTCCACAGCTACCAGCTTTAAGTTAATCACTTTCTTAATGTAGAATTCATGCTACTCAATATTATAACAGAAGTCATTAATAAATTCAGCTTTAAAGTAACTGCTAAGTTTTTAAAAACATTACTTTTATCAAGAAATTACTACATTTTCACAAATGGGAAATTATTTCAGATAATTTTTACTGCCTACAAAATAAATCCCTATATGTGTATTGGGGGGAAAAGTGGTTAGAAGAAAAAAAAAATCACTAGAATAAAAATGAGATGAAGTTGTGCAAACTGTAACTTAACATGCCTCACAATGTTTATAAGGACAAAATTGTGCAATGGTGGCAAAGATTTCTGATAACCTATAAAAGTTAGGTTCTAAATTCCTATGCAGTGTGACTCAGTTAATAGAGCCTAGAATTCCTAATTGAGAACATTCACTCAAATTATACTACATATGTCTGCTATATTCTTCCCACAAACGTTATTTGTCTAAGACTATGTAATTTAGCACTATTTTCCAACTTCAAGAATTTTTATCTTTAAGGCTGTAGTAATTAGATAACATTTATGTTTATTTCTAGAATTCTCTCCCCTTTTAAAATCTCTACAAAACAGTGTTAAACCATTCAAACATAATGGAGGATAATTACCACTACCTTAAAAAAATTTGCCCAGCTACATCAAAAAATTCAAGAGTCCTAAGTATCCTGAATACTGCAATTCCTGAATTGTCCATTTCCTTCTCTGTGTAGAAACAAAAGGTACTGCATAAGTCTTAACAACCTACCCAGTATTCCACAAATCTGTAGTTTAATAAAGCATTTCAGAAATTATATTGATTTTTACACAGAAATTTCCTTTACTGTGAATTAGCTCAGGCACCTGTTTTATTTGTACCCCAATAAAACTATTTTAGAAGTCAGTATTTAATTTTAAAAGTCTATTTTAATTATACAAAGAGAAAACTAGAATATTACATATTTGGGAATTTTTACTCCTTTAAAACAATGAAGTAAAGTGATTTATATAAAGTTGCTTGATTAAACGGTTACACTGGAATTACAGAAAAACGCCTATTGTAGAATTGGAGAAATCTGACAGACCAAACCCCCTTTTTGCAAAACAAAAGTGTGCATTATATTACCACCTCTGGATCACGTGCCAAAAGCTTTACTAAGGTATTACAGACCACTCTAGCACTCCTTAAGGATAAGAAATTATGTCCCTTTGGGGATACCACATCCCCAGTGCCTTATGTGGTAGCTGGCATATGATAGGCACTGAATAAACATTTGTTAAATAGATCAATTGTGTTAAAAAGTAAGCTTTATGATTAAATTTCAAAGTTTTCACTGTAAGAAGGTTTTAGTTATTAAAACCATGGAATGTATCATTGTTACCAGGATACTCCTAGATGTAGATTTCAGTACTACCTTTATTAAATTCTTCTTCCACTGGATAGGGTTCTATTCATACTAAGTTTGAAAATTGCTACTTAGTCACCAGTGGACCAGGCAGCAAAGACATCATGTTCAAAGGATCAAGATTAAATTGCTACTGCAACTATCTGAAAATTAGCTGTTATGTCCAATCCCATTATGGTATCTGTCAGATTATTTTGAGCCCTGGGGAAGAGAGACAATTTGATGTACCTTAATGGGCAGACTTCATGGAGACATCCATAGCAGCAATAAAATTTGAGGTGAGGGAAATTAAAAAAAAAGATTCTCTCAACTCATGGTTCATGTGGAAGGGTAGGCAGGCAAAATGCCATTAATATGGGAGTGGAGTACTGAAACTGGAGAATGTATTTTCAAATATAAACTTCACCTCTTGCACAATTTTGCCCCAAGACTGGTACTGAATACAGGTAAAAAGTTACAGATTGTGCTGAGCTTGACAAATAGGTATATCTTTATGTAAACAATGTAAATTACATAATGTAAAGCCTTTGAGATAATTTTTTAACATGCACAATGACCTGCCCAAAATCAGAGTTCTAAAAGACATCTAGAATCTAACTCATTTTCCTCCTAGTCCAGTGATATTTTCATCTCACCACACCATCTCGCTTCAAATATTTTAAAGTAACACTTCAAATGCACTGTAAGAATTGGACTTTATTATTTATGTATTTTCAGAGCACTGGATATTCTTAAATATGGATCAGACTTGAAAAGCATTTATGAAATGTTACTTTAGCCAGGGTTAAAAGAACTATAAAAGTGGAGAGTTTGAAACTACTCTCTCCTGGTCCCCGTTTTGACCAACCAATGCATGACAATGCTGGATGACCATGGGGTGTATATACAGTCCATGCTATGAAACTGTCAATGAAGCTCAATGAAGCCTGGTCTCTTCAATACCTACTAAGCTAAAACTGGCTCAAATAATCTTTAATATCACTACCAGAACTAAAACTATTTTCAAAGACTGAGGTTCAAGAAAGATTTAAAGTTATGCTAAGAATAAATAGATAATCTGACACAGGGAGACTATATTTAATTCCTATGAGAATTTTTATACATGTTAAAATTGTTTCAATTATTATAAAAATTTAGTTGCATGTAAATATAGCCCCCAAATGGTTGCTATAATCCCCATTTCATACTGGATTTGCCTTAACAGGAAAAGCTAGGAGTCTTACAGTAATTTATCTAATGTGGAATGTCAATGGCCTTTTAATATTTTCCATTACCTTACTTTTTTTTTCTATTTTTTTTTTCCTTTTTATAGAAAAAATATAATATTTTTAGGATAATGACCATTACGAATAGAAGTGGAAAGGGGGAGAAAGCCTTTGTGAACAATGTCTGTTTACATTCATGAAGGATGATGAACTATAGCACATGATGTCTTGAAGATAAATTGAAAGAAAACCCATAAACGTGTGATCCTTCTATGTTTTAGTAAAACCAATCATAAAATTGCAACTGAAGTTATAATTACTAATTAATTCATTTATGTAACTAGATAAAGTACAAAATAGGGATGATTCAAAAGCTTCATTAATCTGTTTCACACCAACATTCACAATTGGTAAGAAAAATAGGAAGTAATCAACTTGCATGCACCAAAAACCCCAAGATGTAAATCTCAGGTATTCAGTTTCTTTTTCACAGGCATTGCTAGTTCAAAAACCAAAACTCAAGGAATACTGGCACTTAGAGGGGAATAAAAGTTTCCACTGTCATTTTAAAATAAGCATTTAAGATAAAAGCTAAGTTTGCATGGAACAGAAAAAAAATTAAGTAATGCTAAACAAATGCTAATAATTTAGTGTAATGTACAAAAATTACCACTTTTACTTAAGTATGCCTTAAGAAAAAAGTACAAATTGTATTTACATAATTATACACTTTGTCTTTGACTTCTTTTTCTTCTTTTTACCATCTTTGCTCATCTTTTCTTTATGTTTTCGAATTTCTCGAACTAATGTATAGAAGGCATCATCAACACCCTGAAATACAGAAAAAGTATTAAAATGTGAATATATATACATGGTGGTTTGAGGTAAAAAGATGACGGACTTCCATTATTAATGTAAATATTAACACTGATAAAGAATAAATACACTTTCCAATTTTCTTCCAGCAATTAAATATATCAGACTTTGAGAATTCTTTGGCAAAGAGAACCTCTGATTTTTACAAAAGGCAGAGACAATCAATGGCACTGATCATATGCAAGCTTAACAAATGACTTTTTCCCCAAGGAGAACTTAATTTGCTACTAATTTTACATATTGAAAACCTTAATTGTCAAAATCCAAATGTGTACATGCACACATGTATGCATGAATATGTGTGTACATTTATCTGTACCTGAGATTCTGGACTTTGGATATAAGATATATAGATGCATAAATTCTCATGGCAATAATATTTTACCTCTGGTTCTGTACTTACATAAAATCATTTGGATTTAAATAATTTCACCAAGAAGTAAACAGTATCTAGACATATTTTCTCAGTTT